TTTTTTAATTAGGCTGCTGGTTTAATTTAGAATTAGAACGCTCATATTTGGGCAACTTTCAAATACAGAAACACTACATGTGACATATGAACTATGGATTTTGTTTCCCATTACTACAGGAAGAATTTATTGAAATTTTATGAGACAAAATGCAAATCTACATGCTTATATTTAGGTGTGTACATATATATACTAACCCTAACTAAAGCATTACAAGCAATACTAACAGTTCTAGTTACATATTCCCAAAAACTTAACTACTTTAAAGATACATGTTATAAAGACAAAGGCATGTCAAAGGCAAAAATGAAGAATCAACAAAATCTTTGAGGTTTCAGTATTATTTCAAAAAGCTCTCTATTCCCCCATAGAAGAAAACTATGCACTTGTTTATTATAGAAAAAAAATATAAAAGGATAATGCTATCATGTAAAGGATTCACAAAACCTAGTTGTATATCCCATGAAAGCCATACCCACTGAAGGTAAACAGCAGTTATGGTCCCTATTGTATGACAGACACACCATCGGCTTTCCTCTTTGACAACAAGGGTTTACCTTTTTCAAGCTCTCTTAACTGTGCCACAGAAATTCAGATCCTGTAGCAACAAGTTAGACTACAAAATAAGGCATTCTTACATGTCACAAAAGTGACAGGCTTAAAAGTACCATCCATTTTTAAATCAAGTGGCGGTTTCAGAGGCTATGGCTATCAAACCAGTGCTGGTTGGTACTGCTCCAAGTGCACACAGCCATCACCTGTCAGAAGCCTTCTCTGGCCCGACACCCAGGCAGCCCTGTGTCCTTCCTGCTGCATTTCCGTGTCTGTAATCCAGAGCAGGCCTATGACAGGGTCGCTGCTGTTTATCCTACTGACCCACTTTCTGTTTTTCTCACACAGGGACTCACCAAGTAGCCCAGGCTGGCTTTGGGCTTTCCATCCTCAGTCTCAGACTTCAGGTGCTAAGATTACAGGCCTGTGCCACCATACCTGGCTCTGCCAGTTTGCTCTGGCCAATCATGCCAAGTAAATTCCTGAAATCAGGCTCTGAGTCTAGCTCGATAACCTTTTGGATAGGATCCCTGGCTGTGAAGAGCACTCCTAACTGTCACACACACACACACACACACACACACACACACACACACACACACACACACACACCTTCATGGTGAAACTCACCTGTTTCACAGCAATGCTGACCCGGACAGAATTGATGGAACCCTCAATCAGAACCTTTTCCTTCTCATTCCTGCTGATGGTAACAGGTTGCAATAGGAGTTCTTTGCTACTCCTAAAAACACAAAATCAGAGGACCACACTGATGCCACTGACTCTCTAGGTATTCGTAAAGGTATCTGTAATCTATGAACTGTCACCATCTGAAAATGCTGAGTGAAAACGATGCATATCAAGTAACAACAGTCTATCCTAACATTAGAACTGTCTGAGTCACAGCAATCACCTCGGGGATGGGGACATGGCTCAGTTGTAGAGTGTGTGCCCAGCATGCCCAAGGGCCTGGGTTCAATCCCCAGTAACAAAAACACCTTTATTTTCTATGTGGTGACACGGCTTATTTCAACTATGTACATCCCAGATTTTCCCCATTTTGCCTCTTTTGGTTTCTTGGGAAAAGACCTGTTGTGTAGCTGAGGCTAGCCTGGACCCTGCGGTTCTCTTACTATCGCCTCAGCCTCCCATGTCGTCTCCTTGCCCGGTGAAATTTCAAAGAGGAAGAATATTTACTTATGCAGTGAAAACCAGACAAGAGAAAAATGCATCCAAAATATGGAGTCATTTTGGTGTAAGAGGGTCTAAGCTGTCTGGCAGTATTAATGATAAAAAATAAAAAGTTCTGGTCCATAAACTATTAATACAGAGATGTCATCTCTGAGAACTAAATCCTGTGACCTCTTCTGGCGCTGCCAGTGGGCTGTAATGCTACTGGAAACACTTCTCCACAGTTCTGCTCTACGAAGCCACACTTCGGGGTAGCTCTCCCATGGGTTTTGGCCTGACAACCCACTATCCTATTTTCTTAATTCCAAATCGGGAACCACCATTCCTCCAGCAGCAAGACAAATGTCACTCAAGGTGCCCTGAGGGTCCCAGGACAGAAATTCATGCCCCCCCTGGACAGCGTCCATTCGTGTGAGTTGTTCTTCTCAGCTCCACTCTGACCTTCTTCCCTACCTGACTTCGACCTCTGGCTTGTTGTGTCGTTCCACAACCTGGGAGGAGAAGTTCTCCAGGCAGAGAGCAGCCTGCAGTGTGGCCCGCACGGCACTAAGGTAGGGACGGAGAGTGGCAGTCTGCAGAAATAAACCCAAGATTAGGAGGGACCAGAGGACCAGAGTCTGCCTCACCAAAGCCAGTACACCCCCACCTCCCCCAACCCAACCCCTGGCTCCTATGGAACAGGCAGTACTGAAGGCTTCAGGTACGATCATCACACAGAACAGAATACACCCCGCCTTCAAGATGCAGCTCAGTCAGGAGTCTAGAGCAGTGGTTCCCAGCAGCAAACAATTCTGCTTGGTATTTAGCAAAATATGGAGAAAAATAGTGACTGTTATGACCTGGGGGTGGGGCAGGGACTATGGACAAGTGGACATAGGCAAGCCATGCTGTCCCAACATCTGGGATGCACAATAGAATTACTCAGCTCCAAGTCACCAGTGCTGAGGCTAAATAATACTGATCTAGAGGGGTCCATGTCCTTCACATGCTTCCTACACTGACAAATGTATTGATCCATGACCAACCAGGTGAGGATCACAAGGGCTAATGGAGGGCAAAATGTAAAATAACTAGGTTTATAAATAATCTATACTAAGGAAATTAGTTTTGACTAGATACAGGATCAGAAGATTGACAATGAGAAAAAGTAGAACGTGGACATTCTCAGTAGAGTGGACAAGGTCAGCTATAATGATCAGCTACATTAGATCTCAGTCAAGTTCTCTCTCCCCTCAGGGCTCATCACACGCCGACCCTTCCCCTGGATTCATTCCTCCTCATTGCTTGGGTCAGTCCAGAGCTCAGCTTACTGAGAAGGCTTCTTCCTTCCTCAAAGCGCTCTTTTTGACTTCCTCAACGCATTTACCACAGTTTAGGATATGTACACTTTACATACAATTCACAGCAAGACGTTCTTCGTGTATTTTATTGAATGAATTTTCCTTCACTAGACTGTAATTCACATGGTCAACAGACTTAATTAACTTTATTCAGTTGTGCAGGCTGCAAGTAGCTCAGCACCTCCTATACCTAGTGTCTTACAAATTTTCTGTAGAGTGAATGAACAAATGAACATTTTTAATTGCACAGGGCAGGCTGCAATGGCTGGCTGGATAAAAGCCTAAGGAATCTAGAATGCTAGTCCACTGAGTTAGCTCTTCTCTCAACGTGGCGGAAAGCACTGGGACTTTCTGAGGAGGAAGTTACGTGACTTCAGCTACACAGAGGCTCTCTGGAGAACGGAAGAGAGGGAAGTGAGACTCACGGCAGAGAAGAGGCCCCGAGTACAGACTGGAGCAGTGGAGGCAAGCACAGCATCACAGGGGACAGACGGACAGACAGAGGGGGTAGGCTAAAAACACAACTAACTCCCGTCAGTGGTTCCGTCTACATACTAGAAGTCCATTGATGGCAACCAAGAAAAGGCAAAACCGGAAGGGCGAGATTAGTAGTTGTCTGGGGCAGTGGGTACCATCGGAAGAGGGCAGAATGTTCTCTACCTTGACTGGAGTAGTGGCTATCTAATTATTTTGTCAATATTCAAAGAAAGAAAACTAATAGTGAATTTTAGGTAGCTAGCCCTGTGATGTTTGCCCTTTAGTGAATAGATGCTTCCAAGTACAATAAAAAAAAAAAAATGCTTAAAATAAAAAGCTATCTCCTCAGTCAAGGGGAAAAGGCTTTCAGGCTGAGGAACACAGAAGAATGACCAAGATTAGGAAAGCGGATGACTTTTGAACAAGAGGGTCTAATTTCAAGGTGTCTCCCCGAGACAGTCGAGTCACAGGAGCATGGCAAGCAGTCCAGTCTTCAGAACTGAGGTCATCCAAGCCAGCAGGACTGGGGAAAGCAGTAGGAAGAGAGACACAACAGTACGGAACACCCACAGATACCAAACCCGAGCACCGCCTGGAAGGGAAAGGCCAGCGGTCATCAGCGTTTACACACATTACGGTCAACAACGGTACCGCCCGAGGAAGGAGTCTGAATGGAGGCAACACCACACAGCCTTCACTGAGGCCTGGAAGCAAGGGGCTGGGGGGACCCAGGGGGGGATCGGAGAAGTGGACACTTGCCTCGGGGTACCGTGAGATCAAGAAAGCAGGCGGGGACAAGGGGGTGTACTTAGCTAATCTCTACCGTGGATGGAGGAGGCCCCGCTTCATTCCTCAGCGATCCTACTTCGGCTGCGAGCCGCCAACACAGGCTAAGTTAAGCTGCTTCCTGCCTCGTCAGAACATTGGGGAGAGGCCATTCCTTCCGGGGATGCCCAACTTGGAAGCCTCTGGGCCTGCTCCTGCCAGGCTCGCCCCCCAGCTCGCCCCTTCCTCCTCGCCTCGGCCCTCGCCCCACCCTCTGCCTCCCCATCCACATCGTGCCCCCTCCTTCCAGGGCGACCTCCGGCCGCGAGCCCTGGCGGCAAACAGCATCTCCCCCAGACCCACAGCCTCATCAGGTAAGACATAGGGAGGCCCCCAGCCCCAGGTCTCTCACCATCGCGGGTGCTGTCTGGGCCGGAAAGCGGAAGTGCGGAAGTGCCCGGCCCCGCGACGCCTGCCCTTTCGCGAGAGGCGCAGCCGCAGTCTCGACCAGCACTTCCGGGAGGGACCATCTCGGGCAGGACCGGGGAGGAAGAGCCGAACGACGTCAGGATCTCCGGGACGATTTCACACTGGGACCTCTGGGACTTGTAGAAGGCGGAGAGGGACCCAGTGGCACTCGAGTCCCCTTGGGTCTCCATACATCTCTGGCCAGAGCCTTTGGTTCTTGTCGCCTTGGTTGTATCTTCCCCCCACGTAACAATAGTACAGCCCGACCTCAGGTTGGGCACCAAATTAGGACAGGCCGGGCCGGGGGAGCCTGACGTTTCTTCCGGTGGTGCTCTCCTATCCTCTCCGGGCTCCTCCTACCTGCAGCCCTGGGGCCCGGCCGGGCTGCCGGTCCCTAGAGATCTCGGCTCTGAGCCCCACCTTGGCCCCGGGCTGCTTCCTAGGGGACGCTTCAGGCCTAGCATTCCACCTGTCGGAGGTTCGTAGGTGGCCTTAGACCCCCACGCCCCCGCAGGCCACTGTAGGCTGGTCGTGTCCCCGCCCTCGCGTCAGCTGCAGGGGGCCCGCCCATAGCCAGTTCCGGGGCGGTTGCTCTGGTAGCCCTGAACTCCCCGCCCCCTCCTGCGGCCTGGGGCCTGTAGGAGGCCGCAGAGAGGAGGTAGGAGAGGCGGGGGCTGTGTTAGGGGCTCCCTAGAGGACGAGGACCCTGGAGGCGGGATCTTGGGGCGACACACAGGTGGAGCCAGCCATTAAGCAGTCCCACTTCTGTGCCAGGCACTGAACTGGGCATTTGACGAGCATCACCTCTTAATCCTCAGAACATTCCAGGGAGGTAGGTACTCTTGATGCCCCCATTTTACAGATTTATACTTTTTAATGGGCAGACGGACTGAGGCATCATCTCTTGTCCTGGAAAAAAACTGAGATTCAAGTTAAATAACATGTTTAGAAGGGCACATGAGAAGAAGATGGGCTGGAACTTAGTTCTGTCTGCTTGACCAGCTCGTGTTCCAAATTTGCTAGGGACACAGAGAATGTGCGAAGGTGGAGTAAGGTGAGCCAAGGAGAGGCTGGACCAACCCTGTAAGATAGAATTCTAGAAACAGCCCAACAGAGGAAAACAGGACATAGGGAGACAGAGCACACTGGTATACCTCTCTCTTGTGGTGCAGGTTTGAGACTACTTGGGTTCGAATTGCAGCTAGGAGGCCAGGCCCACTAATCATGCAGGTTTGTAAACCTAACTCCTTGGGAGGTTGAAGCAAGTATATCATAAGTTCAAGGCCTGCCTGGACAACTTGATGAGAGCTTGTCTCAATAAAAATTCATGAAAGGGGGCTGAATGTAGTTTGGAGACTGTGTCTAGCATGCACAAGGATCCCTGGCACTGCATAAGCCAGGTGTGGTTACATGCCTGGAATTCCATCACTTGAGAGATGGAAACAAATCTTTGGTTACTTAGCTAGTTTGAGACCAGCCTGGGCTGTATGAGACCCTGTCTCAAAAAAAAAAAAAAAAAAAAAAGGCAAATAAATAAAGAAAGAGGACTAGAAGCCAGGTGTGGTGGTGCATGCCTTTATCCCAGCACTCTAGGAAGTAGAGGCAGGTATAATGAGTACCAGGCCAGCCAAGGCTACATAGAGAGACTTTGTCTAAAAAAAAAGAAAAGAAAAGAAAAAAAGGACTGAAGATACAGCGTGTGTGAGACTCTGGGTTCAGTCTTAAGTGCTACCCAAACAAAAAGACAATGAATTGCAGTTAGGAGTCTAGGCATACCCTTTCAGAGTTTGTTTCCTTTTATGTTAAAAAAAAAAAAAAAAACACAAGTAAAGCCCATCCCCCAAGGTTGTGTCCATAATTCAGTGAAGCAAGCGCTCCTATGGTGTACAGTCGGGGCTGTGTGACAGGGAGCTTTGACACCATCCTTACTTCTAAGGGTACTGAAGCCTGATGTCTTAGTTGGGCCTCTCCCATTCTACTTTGTCTCCCACCCAATGGACTTCTCCTCTCTAGTTTTACAGGGTCCCGTCTTCTGGGCCATGAGTGAGCTGAAGGACTGCCCATTGCAATTCCATGATTTCAAGTCTGTGGACCACCTGAAGGTCTGTCCCCGGTACACAGCAGTGCTGGCCCGCTCGGAGGACGATGGCATTGGTATTGAGGAGCTGGACACCCTGCAACTGGAGCTGGAGACCCTGCTGTCCTCTGCAAGCCGGCGACTGCGTGTACTGGAAGCTGAAACCCAGGTGATTCTCCACCAGAGGGGATGTCACTAGACACAGATTGTGTCAAGTTATGGGATGGGCCATTAGGTTAGCTCTGTCTGTAGAGGCTAAGGGATGGATGGGAAGAGAGACCCAAATGGGAACTGACAGCAGAGTTAGGGCCCAAGGGTCAGGGCTGCCATCCAACTGAACCTCAGAAGATGAACTCTGTTCACTTGTAGTCCTTGGAATCCCTGGGAGCTTTCTGAGACGCACTGTAACACAGTCAGTTGTTTGTGTAGACAGGGATCCCAGGTGGGTTGATGATTGAAATGGTTAGCTGGGAGTCTTTATTGACCGTCACCAAAAAAACCACCACCAGCATATTTGACCAGGAGTGCTATAACCTTTTTTAATTTATTTTTTAACCTTTCTGCCAAACAGTCTGTGGCTAGCTTGGGTGACAGGGGAATCAGAGCGTAGACCTATGTTTGAATCCATGTGAGAAAGTCACAGAGAAAGAACCGGGCTTTGAAGGGGAAGTAGTTTACTTAATGGCGTCAACTTCTAGATCTCAAGTTGTCCATAATGGGAAAAAGGTGCTTGTCTCTGCCCTCCTCCTCAGTGACTGTCTTCGTGTGTTTCAGATCCTTACTGACTGGCAGGATAAGAAGGGTGACCGACGGTTCCTGAAGCTGGGGCGAGACCATGAGCTTGGTGCTCCCCCAAAACATGGGAAGCCCAAGAAGCAGAAACTGGAAGGGAAGGCAGGACATGGGCCCGGCCCTGGCCCAGGACGACCCAAATCCAAAAACGTTCAGCCCAAGATCCAGGAATATGAATTCACTGATGACCCAATCGACGTGCCTCGGATCCCCAAGAATGATGCCCCCAACAGGTTCTGAGCCTGAGCACGTAGAAGAGAGCTAGAGGGGCCTAGGGACTGGTGGTGGAGTCTTGGAAGGCCCAGGGCTAAGGCTAGAGGAGCCCAGGCGTCTCAGGGTCTGCTTCTCCCTTCAGGTTCTGGGCCTCTGTGGAGCCCTACTGTGCCGACATCACCAGTGAGGAGGTCCGAACACTAGAGGAGCTCCTGAAGCCCCCCGAAGATGAAGCTGAGCATTATAAGGTAGAAACCCTGAGCCGTACAGTCAGGGAACAGGAGGGCTCAGAGGTGCCTCTGAGTCGTAGGCAGCAAAGCCCGCATCATCTACTTTCTTCCTTCCCAGCCTCCCTTGCTGCTGTGTTACCCCTGCAGACACTGAGGCCCAGCCTCCCCCTGTTACCCCCACCTCAGCATCTGTCATCAAAGTCATCCCGTCTGCTTGTCTTTATCCTAAGAGCCTCTGCACACGCTCCCTGCTTTTAGACTTCAGCAACCGCTTTCTTTCTTTCTTTAGTATTTAAAAGTTAAGTTCCTGTTTCATTTCTAAGACACTAGAACTTGGTGCCCAGGCTGACCTTAAACTCTGGGATTCACCATCTCCCTCTCTCGGGTCTCCAGGTGTCTGGGACTACAAACATCCATCACTATAGCTGGTTTAAAGTTCTTTGGTTCTTTGAAACTGGATTTCATATATCCCAGACCAGTCTTGAACTTTGTGTAGCTAATGATGACCCTGAACTTGTGATTCTCCTTCCTCTGACTCCCTAGTGCTGGGATCATGGGTATATGCCACCATGCCCAGTTTTACAGTCCTGAGACGCAATGTAGCAGGGCTTTATGCATTCCAGGCAAGCCCTCTACAGCAGAGATGCGTCCCCAGCAAGTTAGTTTTATTTATGATGAAAATAAGACATGCTCCATAAAAGAAAGTGGACCGTATGTGAAGAGGTGACTACCACAGGGCAGCAACTGCCACCGCAGGTGTGCTGCATCTGGACCTTCCTAACCCCTGCTGGCCACAGGATAGTGTCCAAGTGTCCCGGGGCTAGGTGGCACTGCAGTTTCCCGGCCACACCCCTCTTTCCTGCTGCATTTATGAGCTAGACTAGACATGTCTCCTTCCTGCTGGTCCCACCAGGGTCTGTGCCCAGGCTCTTCTCAGCTTGACAGACTGCCTCACTCTTGAAGGCCCGAGGCTCATGCTACTGCCACCAGAGACGCCTTTCCAGACTCCTCAGCAGAAAGAGGAAGCTGGGCCCAGTGGCTCACACCTGTTGCACTTGGGAGGCTGAGGCAAATTTGAGGCCATCCTGGGCTTACAAGTCTGAGGCCCTTTCCCCAAGAACAGCAAAGGAAGTGGTCTCACTTGGTGACTTTGTGGTCCCTTGGCTGCTTTAATTACACTTACTTGAATTTAAAAAAAAAAAAAAAAAAGCAAAAAACAAAAACATTTATCTGAGGCCAGAGATGCAGTTAATGATAGAGCTCAGTGGTAGAGCAAGTGTTTGGCATGGACAAGGCCTTAGATTCAATCATGACCTAAAGAACTACAGCAACCTGTAATCTCACTGTGAGTTTGAGGTCAGGTTGTCCTACACATCAAGAACCTGTCTCAAAGAAAGAAGAAGCAGGGAAAAGGCAATCCATTTCAGCAGTAGTAAGTTAAAAAGCAACACACACACACACACAAAAAAAAAAAAAAACAAAAAAAAAAAAAAAATCCCTTCTCATCCCTGCTCTTTAGAAGAATTGCCTGTGACCAAAAAGATCCATGAACATAGTGTTTTATACTTTATATCTTTTGTTGTTGTTGTTTTGTTCTTTTGAGACAAGGTTTCTGTGTAACAGCTCTGGCTGTCCTGGAACTTGCTCTGTAGACCAGGCTGGCCTTGAACTCAGAGATCTGTCTGCCTCTGCCTCCTGAGTGCTGGGATGAAGGGATACTAGGCTTATACTTTATATCTTGATTATTGCATATCAGCTTCTAGATGTATTTTGATTTCTGCTTTGTTTTGTTTGTTTGAGACAAGATAGGTGCTCAGCCCAGGCTCAGACTCAGGATCATCCAGCTTTAGCCTCCTGAGTCCTGGGACAACAGGTGTGTGCCACCACGCCCAGCTGTTTTCATTCTTAATATACCTGTTTCTCTTGCTAGAGTGTGAGTGTAGATTTTATCTTCTCTGCCTTTTATGGCCACCACGAGTGGCCTTGGGCTAGGGACATGGGCAACAAATGAAGAAGCAGAGTGAATGGGGTGCTTACTGACAGTGTCTCATGCCAGCAGAGTCTCCCACACTCTAGGCTCAGTGGCCAGTGTTTACCTCTTGGAATTGAATGGCCTCTTTGCCGCAGATTCCCCCACTGGGGAAACACTACTCCCAGCGCTGGGCCCAGGAAGATTTGCTGGAGGAGCAGAAGGATGGGGCTCGGGCAGCAGCTGTGGCTGACAAGAAGAAAGGCCTCATGGGACCGCTGACTGAACTGGACACAAAAGGTAAGTCCCTAAGCTTGCTGTCCACCTCAGGCCAGGATCTGAGTTCCCAGAGCTTCAGGCCTCCCGCTGTCCTCTCCCTGTCCACTGTAGATGTAGACGCCCTGCTGAAGAAGTCCGAGGCCCAGCACGAGCAGCCAGAAGACGGGTGTCCCTTTGGCGCCTTGACACAACGCTTGCTGCAGGCCCTGGTGGAGGTGAGCAGCGCTCGGTCTGATGGGGACCATGAGCTAGGTGTGGCGGCATGTGCCGGTAACCCCAGCAACACTGGGACACAAAGGCAGCAGGCTCTCGAGCTCCAGGGCTGCGCGTAACCATCTGAGAAAACCAAAACCTGTGAGCGCGTGAGCATCTTTGTGCCTCTGCCTACCTTAGAAACACGCTTTTATGTCCTTGAACCTCAGTTTCCTCTTTTGGCTCTAACAATAGTTTTTCTCTCAGGAAACAGTCTGGGGCATGCATTCCAGGTAGACTGAGGCAACGGGAAGGCGAAGTCTGCCTTAGCCCAGCAGAGACTCCAGTTTATAGTGGCTTTTCATCCTGACCAAGGTCACTCTGGGTGTGGTTACCGCACCAGGCCCTCAGAAATGGAGTAAGGAGGAGGATGTGGAGGAAGCGCTCTGGGTGTGACTGAGAGGATCACTTTCCTCTGGAGAATTTGTCCCATGAGCGCATCTGACCGCAGTGGAGCCTGGGAAGTGCAGTGTAGCTCAGCTGCTGTGGAGGAAGAGCATGTTGGGGTATTTCCTGTCACTGCTGCTCTTTGCCCCCTTCTTTTGCTATTGATATGCCCCTCCCCTCAAAAAAGGAATTTCTGGAATGATCAAAGCTTTGGAGGAAGCTTTTTAACACGAGTGGGATGAAAAAGATGACAGACTATTGCTATCTAGCTTGTGAAGACCATCTGTGTGTGTCAGAGAGGAGCGGAAAAATGGAGATTCTACAGCTTTCTCCTTCTAACCTATCTCTGGTCTTTAGGAAAATATTATTTCCCCTATGGAGGACTCTCCTATTCCTGACATGTCTGGGAAAGAATCAGGGGCTGATGGAGCAAGCACTTCTCCCCGAAACCAGAACAAGCCCTTCAGGTGAGTGACACCCCACCTGCACTCTGGGCTTCGCTGTCAGCTTCTCTCTGTCTTCTTAAGGACACACAGAGGTTGAGGCCATTTGACCAAGCGCAGACGTCTCAGATGGAAGTGCTGGCCTGGTTTCTGGACAGACTTAGTACAGACTTGATCACCATACCTTTGCTCCTCCTGGAGATAACCCCAGGGCCCACCTGAAGGGAGGGGCTAGCTAAGTGCCAAAACTACATATGAAATCACTGGGACTGTTAATCATTACAGAAATGTACTCGACATGGAAGAATTAAAACAGTAGAGTACCAAATGGGGGGAAAGGAGTGATCCTATTTGTACTTAAAATATATTTAAGTGTTACATATACTTTAAAAAAATCTTGGAAATATGTATCGTAAAAGATTGCAACTCATATATAACGAGGCCTGAAACATATATGTGTGGTTATAGTGGGTTCACAAGGTGAAGGGAGGCCCCAGGAAACTCTGAGGGGTCCTCCAGCTGGCCCTCAGAGCTCAGGTGCTGGCCTTGCCTGCAGTGTGCCACATACCAAGTCCCTGGAGAGCCGCATCAAGGAGGAGCTGATTGCCCAGGGCCTCCTGGAGTCTGAGGACCGGCCTGCTGAGGACTCAGAGGATGAGGTCCTCGCTGAGCTGCGCAAACGGCAGGCTGAGCTGAAGGCACTCAGTGCACACAACCGCACCAAGAAGCATGACCTGCTGAGGTGAGTGAGCACTGTGCCAGGGACCAGCCCTGCTCCCCCAAGTTGTGTCTCAGGTGGATGAATTATTATGTGGGTTTGTGCACATGAGTGCAGGTGTCTGTGGTGTTGGCTGCCCTGCAGCTGGACTCACTGGTGTTTGCTAGCTGCCCAGTGAACCCCAGTCCCCTACAAAAGCAGTGCACACTTTAACCAGAGCCATCTCTCCAGCCTGACTCCATTGATAAGTGTAGTTCAGTAATATTTACAGTGCTGTGTTGCATTTGTTTGTCTTTTGTCTTTTTATGTGTGTTTTCTTTTTCTTTTCTTTTTTCGAGATAGGCTTTCTCTGTGCAATAGTTTGTTCTGGCTGTCCTGGAACTCACTTTGTAGACCAGGCTGGCCTTGAATTCGCTAAGATCTGCCTGCTTCTGCCTCCCAAGTGCTGGGATTAAAGGTGTGCACCACCACTTCCTGGCTGTGTTTTTCTTTATGGTATTATTTAATCAGAATACCACAGAGGCACTGGGCAGGTAGCTCAGTGGGGGAAATGCTGGCCACCTAGTCTGGCCTCTCGAGTTCAGTCTTCAGCACACACATGAAAGCTGGCCACAGCAGGACACATCTGTAACCTCAATGCTTGGATGGGCAGAGGCAAGCCTAGCCGAATAGGTCTGCTAGGATCCCATTAAGAGATCCTGCTTCAAAAAAGAAGGCCAAGGACCCGCAAGATGGCTCAGCGTGGAGAAAGCACTTACCGCCAAGCCTGGCCACTTGATTTTAATCCCTAGAACCCAAATGACAGATCGAAAACCACCTCCTGCAAGTTGTCCTCTGGCATCCACATGCACACCATGGCATGTAACCCCTAATGAATACATAAGTGCATAGATTATAATAAAAATAAGGTAAAGCATGATAGAGATATCCAATATCAACCTCTGGCCTCCACATGCATACTCACACATGCAACATGGACATGTACACATATAACACACAAAAAACATCATAGAGGAACTAATGAAAACCAGTATGCTTCCTCCTTGGGCCTGAGAGTTGCTAACATTCTCTTGGCTGTCTGTGCTGGGGTTTGGCTCGTCACCCGCACTTCCTAGTGTGTGAGAGAAGTCAGTCATAGTGCGGTTCATTTTATTTCAGCTCCCACCCGACTGACTGCCCTGCACTGGTGACGAGGGTGTAGGTGACATGTGAGGGCACTGGTAGGAGCCGCCCTTCTGTTAGCGCTCCATCAAGACTCCAGGCTCCTTACAGAGCCCTGACAGGGCAGGTCTCGATTACCTCTTCCCATCTCTGACCTGGCGCTGGGGCCAGGAGGAAGGCAGAGAAATGGACTCCTGCTCTCTCAGGTGGTTTATAGGAGACACACCATTCAAAGGAGGCAGTTGCGGCTGAGCTTTAAGGGGAGCTGAGGATAAAGAAACCAGTGTTGCTTAGTGCCCACTGTGTGCCAGGGTCTTGGGCACCTTCTTTTATCTAAGGACAACCCAGAGAGTGGGTGGCATTTTCTCCACTTACCAGATAAAGGATAGAAGCCAATGAAGCGGAGCCAAGTGGAGCCTTGTTGAAGTCACCTCCGGTCGAGAGCTGAGCTGAGCTGAGCTGTGAGGCAAGGCTGAATCCAAGCCTCTTTCTGGTTCACGGTCCCTGTCAAGGGCAAGGAGAAAACTGCAGGGGGCGGCAAGGGCAGGGTGAATGAGAAAAAAAGGAATGCTGTGTAGTTACAGAGGTACAGGATGCTGGGGAAATGGCTGGGCTCTCAGAGGCTGGGGCTCAGCCCTGGGCCTGCTGTGCTGCAGCTGCAGGGCTGTGGACAAGGCACTTCAGGCCCAAGCAGCAAGGACTAGATTCCCAGAGACCCTCCACTCCACCATCAGTGGGTCTAAGTCAGAGCCACACACGGTTGAAGAACGGTGCGGCAGGGCACAGCTGTAATTCTCACACGTGGCTAAGGCAGGAGAGGGTGAGCTTGAGGCCCAGCTGAAGCTGGTCTTTCTAGATCTTTCAGTCACCCTTGCTCAACCTGAGCCTCGGTTCCTTTACTATTATAACATAGGGATAAGGGTTCTTACTTTGAAAGATTATTGTGAGAATTGGCTGTATGCACGTGTGTGTGTGTTGTTTATGGATTTTTTTGTTTTGTTTTTTAAGACAGGGTTTCTCTGTGTAGCCCTGGCTATCCTAGAACTCACCCTGTAGACCAGGCTGGTCTCCAGCTCAGAGATCAGCCTGCCTCTGCCTCCTGAGTGCTGGGATTAAAGGTGTGCGCCACCACTGCCCGGTATTTATGGGTTTTTTTTTTTTGTTTTTTTTTTTTTTTTCTTTGGTTTTTCGAGACAGGGTTTCTCTGTGTAGCTTTGCGCCTTTCCTGGAACTCACTTGGTAGCCCAGGCTGGCCTCGAACTCACAGAGATCCGCCTGGCTCTGCCTCCCGAGTGCTGGGATTAAAGGCGTGCGCCACCACCGCCCGGCTATTTATGGGTTTTTAAATATGTATTTTTTATTTTATGTGTGGTGTTTGGCCTACAGGTTTGTCTGTGCACCATGTGTGTGCCTGGTGCCTACAGAGGGCATTGGATCCTCTGGAACTAGAGTTAGTTGTTAGCTACCTTGAGAGTGTTGCAAACCAAACCTGGGTCTTCTAAAAGAGCAGCTGGTCTCTCCAGCTCCTAGGTTTATTTCTTAAGCTAGGGATAGTGGTTCACACCTACTATCTTAGCAATGGAGAGGTGGAGGCAAGAGGATTGCCTCAAGTTCAGGACCAGCCTAGGCTATATAGTAATTTCCAGGTAAGCCTGGGCTATAGTGTGAGACTATCTCAAAAAAAAAATTTTTAGAGTATTTTTAGGTTCACAGCAAAATTGACAGAAAGGTTTCCTGCATAGTTCCTGAGCTCCCACATGCTGCCCCTACTATAAGCAGCATTAAGTTAACATTTTGGAGCACTTAAATAATGCCTCACACACAGTTCCAGCTCAATGTGGCTCTGCATCTGTGCACATTGGCCATGAATGAAACAGGCCAAGAAGTGCCAGCCTCAGCTGGGATTGTGAGGAGGCTCAGTCTGGAAGAAGGGGGACACAAACTCTGGAGAGGGGATAACCATGCCACTTGGCCCCCACAGGTTGGCAAAGGAGGAGGTGAGCCGGCAGGAGCTAAGGCAGCGGGTCCGCATGGCAGACAATGAGGTCATGGATGCCTTTCGCAAGATCATGGCTGCCCGGCAGAAGAAGCGCACCCCCACGAAGAAGGAAAAGGACCAGGCCTGGAAGACCCTGAAGGAACGGGAGAGCATCCTGAAGCTCCTAGATGGCTAGCCTCACCTGCTGCTGGCCACCTCCCTGGCCTGGCAGAGGCCCACTTCCTTGGAAGCCTTGGCCAGGGGCTGCCCATCAAATGGCAACAGTCTCAGGGCTGAAGTACTCTCAGGCCACTCAGCTGAGCTGTGTGCAGCCAGCATGCAAGGCCTTACCGCACTGGCCTGGACCTAGCATCTGCCTGGTGCCTCAGCTGAGCGGGCTTGTTCCTGGCTGTCCCCTTTCCTTCTTACAATCTCCTCGACACCTTTCCCGCAAGGACTTCTTCCTTGGGGTTTTGTAAAGTACAAACTTAAGAATAAATGACTGCTGTGTTTTGTTTTGTTTTCTAAAAAAATTACAAAAGGACCTACAATTTTTGAGTATTATTTGTGGTGTGGGAAGGGCTTGGCTAGGTGAAAAGGTTCAGGAAAGCATGCTTGGTGGCTCTCAGCTTGTGGCCACTCACCTATGACATTTGTTTCTGAGCACTTTTTTCTGAGGGTGCTGGTGGCAGGAGGGTGGGTCCTGGGATTCCTAGGGCAGGACTGCCAGCTACCAAGGACCTGGTCCTTCGGGTGTTTCCAGAGTGCCGGCTATCACCAAGATATCTCCTCAGCTGTGGGTGGCAGGAGGAGCAGCCAAATGGTTCGTTTGTGTCTGTTACTGAAGAGAACCTAAAGCCAGCAGGCCATGGCCTCCCCCCAAAATAGCAAGCCTTGTCCCAGATGTCTCTGTGTCTTATCTAAGCCCAAACTGGGCTCTCATACTAATGAAAACAAGAGGTCGTCCAGCCTGTTTGTTTTCTCCAGGGTCCGTGGAAGAATCTAACAACCAGCTGAGGATCTAAACTTAGGGATATTGAATGAATCTAAGCACACCGAGCTCTTTAGTCCATTCACTTTATTTATTTATTTATTTATTTATTTATTTATTTATTTTTCGGAGCTGAGGACTGAACCTAGGGCCTTGTGCTTGCTAGTTCTACCACTGAGCTAAATCCCCAACCCCCATTTACTTTATTCTTATAAGTCAATTCTATCTACACATCTTTTCTGTTCTCATGCTTGGCTCCTCTCTGTCCCTTCTGCTGTTCTCTCATTATTCTATCTAGTTCTTTCCATCTTCCTTCTCACCTTTGTTCCCCCTTTGTTCTGCCCTTTAGCGGAGATTTTATATATATATATATATATATATATATATATATATATATATATATATATATATATATATATATACACACACACACACACACACATCTCCATTCATTAACAACTAGTTGTAAAAACTATAAAGTAAACTCTCAGGGACAAGTATGTACACGTATGGAAATGCACAGTAAATGAGGAGAATCAGCTGTTATCGCACAAGAAGTTTACAACGAGACAGCCAATTCATTCAAAAGGCAGTAATTCCATAATGCCTTGCATATATGGTTCCCTCCAACAGAACCCTTGGTTCTGATAGGTTGACCTGAACACTAGTTGTCACCTACTGTATACTCCCATACTCCTTTGCTACCAGCGGCTCTCAATATCATACCTATTTCTGACACAGCCTCTAGGGTTAGGTTAACTACTGCAGTGGTCCTCAACCTATGGGTTGCGATCCCTTGGAAAACACTGATACTTACATTATGATTGGGGGTCATGACAACAGGAGACTGAATTAAAGGGTCACAGCATTAGGAAGGGTGAGAACCACTGTCTACTGGGATCTCGTTTTAGTTTTTGTTTGGTTTTGGTTTTGGTTTTGTTTGGAGACAGACCTTCTGGCTGGCTCTAAACTTGTGGCAATCCTTTTGCTTCTGCCTCATCTGCTGGGATTACAGGTGAGCCATGGTGATGCCTGGCCTACTCAGAGTTCCAACCATGCAGCCCCACAAAGTTCTACCCACAGTGAGGGCAGAACCCATCAGATCTGGGCAGATAACAAAGCAAACGCAGGGTGGGCTACCAACATTGTGCCATACCCCAAGAAATGCACACAGAGTGCTCTCTTCCCTGTGTGTTCTCCCAGGCTAGGGTTAGAGCCGGAGGGTGTTGGCAATTTGCTATGGGAAAGGAGAGGAGACAGTTTCCTGAGGAAATGACCTATGAACTGGGCCACAGAGAAAGGTGAACTGTTTATAGTGGCAAGAGCCTGTAATCCCATCACTCAGAAGGCTGAGGTAGGAGGGCTGCAGGTTCAAGCCTTGCCTGGGCTATATAGTGAGATTCTGTCTTTAAAAAACAAAGGTAGAGCCGGGCGGTGGTGGCGCACGCCTTTAATCCCAGCACTCGGGAGGCAGAGGCAGGCGGATCTCTGTGAGTTCGAGGCCAGCCTGGGCTACCAAGTGAGTTCCAGGAGAGGCGCAAAGCTACCCAGAGAAACCCTGTCTCGAAAAACCAAAAAAAAAAAAAAAAAAAAAAAAAACAAAGGTAGATTTGTAGGGCAAGAGACATGGTCAATAAGACAAAATGACAGCCTACAGAATGGGAAAAGATCTTCACCAACCCCACATCTGACAGAGGACTGACCTCCAAGGTATATAAAGAACTCAAGAAACTAGACATCAAAATACTGAGCAATCCAATTAAAAAATGGGTTACAGAGCTAAACAGAATTCTCAAAAGAAGAATCTCAAATGGCTGAAAGACATTTAAGGAAATGCTCAACATCCTTAGTCATCAGAGAAATGCAAATCAAAACGACTCTGAGATATCATCTTACACCTGTCAGAATGGCTAAGATCAAAAACACTGATAACAGTCAATGTTGGAGAGGATGCGGAGCAAGGGGAACACTCCTCCACCAACCGGTTGGAGTACAAACTTGTATAGCCACTGTGGAAATAAGTATGGTGGTTTCTCAGAAAATTGGGAATTGATCTACCTCGAGACCCAGCCATACCACTCTTGGGCATATACCCAAGGAATGCTCAATCATACCACAAAGATACATGCTCAACTATGTTCATAGCAGCATTATTCATAATAGCCAGAACCTGGAAACAACCTAGATGCCTGTCAACTGAAGAATGGATTAAGAAAATATGGTACATATACACAATGGAGTACTACGCAACAGAGAAAAACAATGACAGCATGAAATTTTCAGGCTAATGGATGGAACTAGAAAATATCATCCTGAGTGAGGTAACCCAGACTCAGAAGGACAAACATGGTATGTACTCACTCATAAGTGGATACTAGATATAAAGCAAAGGACAATCAGACTGCAACCCACAGATCCAGGGAGGCTACCTAGCAGGGGGGACCCTAGGATGACTGTGGCTTATAATAAGCTTTGGTTTTGCCCAATCTTTAGGCAAGCTTTAGTGAAACATTTCATTATTAGGATAAGAATATATACCGTATCAAAGGCTGGAGAGATGGCTCAGAGGTTAAGAGCATTGACTGTTCTTCAGAGGTCCTGAGCTCAATTCCCAGCAACCACATGGTGGCTCACAACCATCTGTAATGAGATCTGGCACCCTCTTCCGGTATGAAAGCATGCATGCAGACAGAACACTGTAAACATAATAAACAAACATCATAATAAATAAATATTTTTTAAAAAAGAATATATACCGTATCAAGCTGATAAAAGAAAATGCTGGCCGTACTTTCAGGAGGGGAGGCGAAAATCTTTTTAGATTATGGATTAGCCTATAGAAAAATGTCTGCTGTAAATCAAACAGTGAAGGGGAAGATGAATAGGTATCTCACTTACACAACTTAAATAAAACATAGCTCTCTGAACAGACGAAGATAGGTTTCTTCGGTATCCCAGAATCTAATCAATATTTATATGTATCATTCAGCTATTACTTGGCTTAAAAGGGCTTATTGGGAAATGTTATCATTTTTACTTTTCTACAAAGAAAATATTTTCCAGTTTCACATAACTCTGGACTTTTGAATTATAACCTGTTTTTATGTTCAAGTTGTGTATTATTTCTCCTGCAGTTATACATAAAATGTTTTCACATTTTTTTTTTAAAAAAGGACAAATACTAAAAAAAAAAAAGTAGAGTGGGAGTCGGGGAGTGGAGGGTGGTGGCGGTGGGCGGCGGCGGCGGCGGCGGCGGCAGCGGCACATGCCTTTAATCCCAGCACTTGGGAGGCAGAGCCAGGTGGAGCTCTGTGAGTTCGAGGTCAGCCTGGTCTACAGAGCAAGATCCAGGACAGGAACCAAAACTACACAGAGAAACCCTGTCTCAAAAAAAACCAACCAACCAACCAACCAACAAAGGTAGAATATCATCTCTCTTTCTGTTGTGAGAATATCACTGTCAAAATAGGGTGGACGTGTTACCCCAGCTTGACCAATCATGATTGGTCCAGAAAATGACCACTTGCCTCAACCTGGGTCACTCAGGCCTTCCTTAAAATTGCTCTTTGGGGTCTGGCATGGTTGTATGAGCCTACATTCCTAGCCCTTGGGAAGTAGAGGCAAGAAAGTCAGGAGATCAAGGACAGCCTGGCTTACCTGAGACCTTATTGCAAAAACAAAACAATTGGAGTTGAGCATGATGGTGCAGCCATAATCCCAGCACTCGGGGTGGAAGCCAAATCAGGACTCCAGGGTCATCCTTGGCTGGATACCATGTCTGAGGATAGCATTGGCCACATGAGGCCCTGTCTGTTGCAAGGGAAAGGAAAGAAAAGGAAGAGAATAGAGGAGAGAGAGCAAAGGGAAACCAAGGCACCCGGGGACCTGTTTTCCCGCCATGTGGAGAATCCCCTGAGAATGAGGCCGGCTCTGCAGCAGTACAGGAAGCGGAGAAGCCGATAGTCCTGGCTCGAGCCACACCTGGAGCCACATGACCTCCCCGACACAGACTACTAGTCATGTCAGCCTAGAAAGGCTTCCGTTAGCTTCAGCTAGGTTGTTTTGAAGTTTTGTCATCTGTAAATAAGAAAGGCATGACTAATAAGAGTGTATTTGGACAAACAGAAAGATGGAGGAAGGGCCTGAGGGAGTGACATCAGGCTCTCGGCCTGCTGCTAGGTGCAGGGACAAGTAATGACTCATTGTCCCTAGACTGTTCCTATCTTCTCAGAGAGAAAAACAAACAAACACCCACACATGAAACAAAGACAGTAACTCTAATAATAATGAAATGAAGCACTCAGTACCAGCTGCTGATTTCACCTCTGTGGGGCATACGGTAGGGTACCAACAATATCCCATTCTTCCCAGATGAGAAAACGGAGCCTTAGGATGTTACACACCTCGCTTGGTCCAAGTGGTTGGCCAATGACTTGGAAGCAGTGCTTATGTTATGTAATTCAGTGGGACCCCTGTCCCAGTACACTCTGTGTGAATAGCATTTCCTTCCCTTGGCTGGGCAGAGCCCATTTTGTGCAGCCAAACACGGCAGCCTTGCTTACAAACCCCCTATGCTAACCACTCATTCCATATTCATTAGGCCTGTCCATAAGTATGGTAGGTGGCATGGGTAGAGAGTTCCAGGAACAGACAGAGTTTTGTGGAGGAGGTGAGATCCAAGGCCCCCACATTGGGTAGACTCGTGAGAGGAGGAAGGTAGTCGCTGTACATAGAAGGCAGCAGCTTGAGGACTGACAGGACCCAGTTCCTTCCCTCTCAAGGAGCAGCTGTGAGAGTTCATTATTTCCTATCAAAGAGGCTGGGCCCTCTCTATAAGACACTGTTCCTTGCACACTGCCTCCTCTAAGGGAAGTGGTGCTGGGCTGGGCTGCAGAGGACACTGAGGCTCACAGAGAGGTGATGCCGTGCAGAGAGTCTCAGCCTCGGTACAGGCAGTCACTATTTCCAGGAAGTACCACCTGCAGGCAGCTCTTTTGTTGTTTTTCTATATTTAAAATTTTTAATTACATGTAAATATGTGTCTGTGCACATGAATTTAGTGCCAGAATTGGGCATTGGATCTCATGGAGCTAAAGTTACAGGGGTCGAGAGTGGCCTGACATGGATGCTGGGAGCTGAACTCATGTTCTCTGGAAGAATAGCAAGTGCTCCTAACTGCCGAGCCATCTCTCCAGCCCATTTTTATTTTCTCTTAAGGCAGAGTGTTATGGATCCCCGTCTGGTCTCAAACTCACTCTTGGAATGACCATGTGCTGGAATGATAGACGTGCACCACCATGGCCGTTTATGCTCTGCTAGCGATGGAGCTCAGGGCTTGTGCATGATAGGCAAGCACTGACCTGAGCTCCATCTCCAGCCTTACTCTAAACACACTCGGCCTGAGCTACATCTCCAACCTTACCTCTAAACACACTCGGCCTGAGCTACATCTCCAGCCTTACTCTAAACACACTCGGCCTGAGCTCCATCTCCAGCCTTACCTCTAAACGCACTCGGCCTGAGCTACATCTCCAACATTACTCTAAACACACTCGGCCTGAGCTACATCTCCAACATTACCTCTAAACACACTTGACCTGAGCTACATCTCCAACATTACCTCTAAACACACTCGGCCTGAGCTACATTTCCAGCCTTACAAATCAGGCCTCCTTTGTGGGATTTGGAGGGAACTGGGATCCCTAGGAAGAGGAGGAATACATTCCAGCCACTGACCAATTTTTACCTGAGGCCACCCCAACACTGTGTGACTAATTGGGCAAAAGTCTACTGCATCTTACTTGGCCCTAGAAGGGGTGCATCTGCCACTCAAGAGTATTTTCCAGAGTTCCAGCTGCCTCTGTGAGCACAGAGGGGTAAGCTTGTACAACAGCAGGTCCCCAGACTTCCAGCTCCGGAAAGAACCGTTGAAGATGCCATGGAGGAATGTCAGAGAACTTTGGTCAGCTGGTGACGTCCCCTCCTGGCCTAGGGCTCCAGGCTCAACAGAGAGCAGCAGGCCCAAATGGCCTGTGGTAGGACGTACTCCGTCTGGGTACCACTGACTCCATCTACCTGCTCCACCTCCTCAAGCACACTTTTGCTCCCTTACTCCGCAGCTGTTTATGGAGGTGCAAGTGACTAAGGCCCCCGTGACAGGGAGATGACGGACAGGCAGTGGTAGCGCAGGCGATAAGTACAGGCACAGAAGAGTGTGAGCAAGCTGCCAGGGACCTTGGGGCGGAGACTGACTCAACAAAAGCTCAGAGGGCCAAGAGGGGCTTCGGGGAGGCTCAGACAGGAAGTTGTTCAGCAGAAGATGGCATCCCAGACAGACAACAAGACACAGAGGTGTGAGCAGCTGGCCTGCTGAGAGAGGTGAGAACTCCGGCTCCACTGGAGCCCTGGGTGTGTGCAGGGAAGGGGAGGGGTGGGTGAAATTGCAAAGCAGGCTAGCAGCAGGCTGGGAGAGGCTGAAAACCAGTGCAAGCTTTATTCTCCAGGCGAATGTTTTCAAAGTAGTCCCTAGGGACTGCAAAGATGGCTCAGTGGTTAAGAGCACTGAACAGGGGACCCAGGTTCTATTCCTAGTACAACCAACTGTAACTGCAGTTCCAGGGGGGACTCGATGCCCTCTTATGGCCTCTGTGGGCACTTGCATGCATGTAGTATGCAGACATATATACAAGCCAAATAATCATACACATAAAATAAAAATAAAAAATAATAATGAAGTGTGATCCCTGGATGTGTGTGCCTCAGCATCACCTGGGAATTTGAGAAAAAGGAAAAACTCTCAGGCCCAGACCCACAGACTTATAGAACTGGAAACTCTGAGGCTGGGGCCCTATTATCTCAGTTTCTCTTTTGTTTAGTTTTGAGATAGTGACTCTATCTCTGTTTTAAGATGTCCTCCAAGGCAGGTTAGGCGGTGGAAGTCTGTAGTCCCAGCTACTAAGAAGGCTGAAACTTGAGAATCACTTGAACTCAGGAGTTTGGAGCAGCCTGAACAAAATAGGATAGCCTTACCTATAAAATCAGACAGATAAGCAGGCAGGCAGACAGACAGACAGACAGACTGGGTGTGGTAGTTCACATCTGTAAACCTAGTTCCTGGGAGGCTAAAGCAGGAGGAATGCCACGAGGTCGGGACCAGCCTGGGCAACACAATGAGTTCCATGTCAGTTTGAGCTACAGTGTGAAATCCTATCTCAAAAAACTGGTCAAGGGCCTACCACACAGGCACAGGACTCTGAGTTCAGATTCCTCAAAACCCGTATAAAAAGTGTCTTGCTGCTGTAACCTCAGCCTTGGAGAGGGGTGTAGAGGCCACTTGAAGTTGGCCAGCCAGCCTCGCTGTGTCGATGGGCTTCAGGATCAGTGAGAGCTCCTAGTTGAACAAGCAGATAAGTCAAGATCGGAGCTGGACATGTGGCTCAGGAGTGAGGAGCACTTGTTGCTCAATGATGAGAGGACAATTCAGAATTCAGCACTTAGGTCAGGGGACCACAAGGGCTGTAACTCCAGCTCCCAGGCATCCCCTGACTTCTGGTTCCTGTGGGCGCCTGCATATACTCACAGGGACACATACGTACAGACATGCACACAAAACAAAATAAGATGGTGGAGGAAATCTGATTTTTAATTTAAAAAGTTTTTGTTGTTGTTCTTTGATTTTTCAAGATAGGGTTTCTGGGTATAGCCCTGGCTGTCCTGGAACTTGCCTCAAACTCACAGAGATCCACCTGCCTCTACACCCACCGCCATCACCCACTCACCCTCTTCCCCACTCTCATCCATCCTCCCCTCCCCCAGTGCTGAGATTAAAGGTTGGCTCTGCAGCCACCACCACCCAGCGCCCAGAGGCAGAGGGATTCTAGTGCAGGGTAGCCCGAGGCTGTCTTCTGGGCTGCCTGGCAGCCTTTGTGGCCAAGCAGGTTCTGCTGGGCTGGAAAGTGGTGGTCACACACTGTGCCTGCGTCAACATTTCTGGCAATTTCTACAGAGATAAGTTAAAGAGCCTGGCGTTTCTCCGAAGTCAGATGAATACCAACCATGCCTGAAGCCCCTGGCATGTTCCGTGCCTGAGCTGCCGAAGGGTCACTGTGTGTGGCATGCTTCCCCACAAGACCAAGCCAGGCCAGCCCCTCTACGTGTTCGATAGGATCCCTCCACCCTAGGACAAGAAAAAGAGCATCATGCCTTGCCAGCCTCGAAACTGTGTGGCTGACGCCTACCAGAAAGTTTTCTTACCTAGAGCATGTGGCTCATGAGGTTGGCTGGAGTGCCAGGCAGTGACAGCCACCCTGGAGAAGGCCAGGATCCATTACTGGAAGAAGAAGCTTGCAAGGCCATGGAAACAGGAAGAAAAGAATGTGGAAAGAAAATCAGTCAGTTCACAGAGGTCCTAAGGTCCCAGCAAACTGTGCCTTAAAAAAAAAAAAAAAAGCAGGTAAACTGGTCATGGGTCATGGTGGCACACGCCTTTAATCCCAGCACTCAGGAGGCAGAGGCAGGCAGATTTCTGTAAATTCAAGACCAGCCTGGTCTACTAGTGAGTTCCTGGACAGCCAGGGCTACACAGTTAAGACCCTGTCTCAGGGAAAAAAAAAAAGGAGGTGAGTCATCCGGAAAGAACCATGTTGACCTCAGCTCTCCTCTCCACATGCATAAGTGCACACATGCACATACACATGGCACATGTGTGTTCAGGCACACGTGCACACATCCCACATAAACACAAATAAATGCATATAAACAAATAAAACCAGGTGTGATGGTGCATTGTCTATAATCCCCGGAACTCAGGGATCTGAGACAAAAGGATGAGGAGTTCAAAGTTATCTTTGGATACAGGGCAAGTTTGAAGCCAGCCTAGGCTATATGAAGCCCTGCCTCAAAAACAAAACAAAACCCCAAAGCAAATTAATAATAAATAAATACCCCTGGGGGGATTCCTGGTGCACAGTAACGTTTGAGGGGTATTTTCTGCTTGTAGTAGGGACCTGAGGGAGTTTTGGGAGCAGGGCAGTGCCATATTACCATTCTGACATAGCAGAGCAGGGGCTAGATTGATTACAGAAGGTGAGTGAAGTCAGGCTGATGGGAACACAAACTACAAAACAGAAGTTGATGTGCTGGGATGTAGGTTGGTGATAGAACGCTTACTCTGGGTTCTATTCTCAGCACCCCACCCTCCAAAAAGGAAAACCACAAACAAAAAACAAGAGTGATAGATACCTCCCAAATCTGTCATCTAATCTCCCCGTCCCTCTCCTCACTCCCCTCCACATGCACAGGTGCCCTGATACTCTGGACTGAAGACTGCAACTTCTCTTGAAGTTAGGTGTGAGCATGTGACTAAGCTTTAGCCAGTGAGCTATGGGTTGAGAGATCTGTGTAATGAAGCCATGAGTTCTAAGGTCTATGCTCTCTATGTTCCTCTTCTCCCTGGGATGATGAAACACGGTAAAGATAATACCATAGCAACAGAGGAACCACAGGACAAGAGGCAGACAGGGTCTTTCTTACCTTGTAGTCATCATCCCAGCCTGGGGATGCTTTCAGCCAGATGTTACACACTCCATTTAACTCACAATTACTCTGTTAAAGAAACCAAACCTGAGCAAGGGAAGGGCTGTGCCAAGCAATCTGTGGGAGTCCGTCCTTCCTCCCTCCTCCCTCTCCTTCCTCCCTCCTTTCTTCCTCCTCCCTTCCACCCTTCACTCCCTCCCTTCCTTCCATCCTTCCTTCTTTCCTCACTTTCTTCCTACCCTCACTCCCTTCATTCCATCTGTCCATTCTTCCTCCTCCCTTCCATCCTTCCCTCCTCCCTCCCTTCCTTCCTCCTTCCTTCCATCCTTCCTTCCTCCCTCCCTTGCATCTCCTCAGAAGGAGTTACAATAGCATATAAAGAAAGATAAAGGTGAGCCCACTAGGTTTAATGGGGCTGCTCTCATTAGTTAGGAAAGTTTGCTCTGATCATCTTAGAGGCCAACACAAGGATGAAAATGAAATTGGCTCAGAATGTTTGATGGTAGAGGAAAAGTTAGCTTCCAGTTGGCTACAAAAACTCGGATCATTTCTTGTATAGAAACCGGAATGAAGCTTTGAAATGCTCTCTGCACCCCTGACATAAAATGGAACCAGGATTTCAGGGGAGATTATCCCCCCCCACCCCTGCTTCCTCTCTCTCTTAGACAACATACCTTCAAATTCAATAGCTGAGGATGGCCCTGAGTTTATCCTGCTGACCCTCTCTACTGAATGCTGGGGTTGCATCCTGCAGTATCATCACATCCAGTTTCTTGGACTGGGAATTGAACCCAAGGCTGTACAGGCAACACTGTACAAACTGAGCCACATCCACAGCCTTCTCCCCTCACCCCACCTTTCTTAAAGATTCTTGATACCCACCTCTGGAAAAGCAGAGACAGGC